AGTGAGGTGCAGACCTCCGGGACCTGGCTTACCCGCTCGCTCACACGCTTCAGCAACTCCTCTACTTCCTCCGTCGCCAACATCTCCCGCTGATACTGGTTTTCTGTCTTCTTTTTAGTTTCCAGGTCACACTCAGCTGTCAAGGCCAGCATCTTCCGGTCATACTCCTCTTGTACTTCCTTTTCCAGGAGTAGAAACTGCTTTCTGAAAACAAGAGCCATCCTTCTCTCCGCCTGGGGGGAAAGGTGGCCGCCACTGGTCAGGCTCCTCAGCAGAAGGGCAATGATGTCCTTGCTGATTTGGGTGCGACAGGCCTCCAGATCTGCATCCGCCTGGTTCAGGGTGGCGATCTCCAGCCTGGGAGGCACAGAAGTCAAGAGAGCCCGTCACACCAACCACAGCAGGGCCACGGCCCACAGGGCACCAAAGCTTGACTCACGGAGGCCACAGCCTCCCTTCCTTCTCCCACTCCTTTTCCTTCCCCCCTTGGCTCTGCTCCAACCAGCTCCTGAGGGCCGGTCATGGAGTGAGCAGACCCTATTCAGCAGATTTGTCAGGTGCCATGCTAGGAACAACTGGGATGGGAGCCATCTCAACAGGGTCTCTGCCAACAAGGAGGAGACCAAGGGGAGGAGGCATAGCTGACGTACTGAATGGTGTAAAAATAAATTTTATTTTACTTTTTTTCCAATTAAAAATTAATTTATGACAACTAAATGTAATGCTATATCCTGGAAGGGATCCCGGAGCAGAAGAAGAGCATCAGATTAAAAATTAAGGAAATCTGAACAAAGCGTGGGCTTTAGTTAACAGCAGCATATCAATATTTGGTTCACTAACCGTAACAATGTACATAAATGAATAGACGTAATGACTGTAAGAAACATAAGAGGTTAATAACTGGGGAACTTAGGTGCAGGACATACATCTCAATGTTTCTGTAAATCTAAAACTACAGTCTACTTGAGAAGTACCGACGAGGAACTTCCCTAGGCCACTAACGGTGAGCTCTGTGGGGGGCGTATTACACCTCACGGCAGCTGGAAGAAGATCCATGGGGAAAGTCGACTCATACTCATGATTTAAAAATCTGGAAATCAGCCAGGCACAGTGGCTCACACCTGCAATCCCCGTGTCTTGGGACGTCGAGGCAGGAGGATGGCAAGTTTAAGGGCCTAACAACTTGTACCTTAGCAAGACGCTGTCTCAAAATTTAAAAATAAAAAGGACTGAGGACGTAGCTCAAGGGTAAAGCATCTCTGGGTTCCATCCCCAGTACCACAAAAGAAAATCTGGAAAATAAGGACGAACAGAAAAAGACTTTATTCAGTGTGTGTCCACCGTGCAATCAGAATCACTGATGGCATTTTGCTACATTTTCTTCCAGTTTTTCTTCCTCTGAATATCTTTTCTACAAATGTAGACTATTTACAATTTTACCCACTTTTTTCCAGTTAACATTGTAACCCGCACCTTCCTGGGGTTTCTAAAAATTGCAACCTTCCTTGATAACGGAATAGGAACATTTCACCCTGTGATGGATGCCATTCAATGAGCCTCTGTCTACTGTATATTCAGGTTACTTGCAAATTGCAAGATCTAAAATAACCCTGAAATAGACAACTTTGTACAGAGCTTTCGATAGGCACAGCAACAGCCTTGGTACAGATTCCTACAGAAAGAATCTTAAGGTCAAATGAAGCAGTGTCTCCAAGTCCCTCGGAACATGTCCCAAACTGCTCCCCAGATAGCTCCTGACAACACATTCGGGATCTTCCCACATCCCAGCCAATGCAATGTTAAAAATCCTTCATAATTTGATAAGAGAAGATGGCATGCAGTTGTAAAAAAAAAAATGCAAGGTATAGAAGACAGCTATTAGAGAAATTTCCAAGCACCTAGAAGCGGGGGGAACAGGACGATTCCCACATTACCCAAATTCCAACACTGCCCGTGTGCACCGACTTGTTTCATCTACTCCCTGCACTGAGCATTTTAAAGCAAATCTCAGATTTGTCATTCCACCTGTTCACGCCCCAGCACGCTCCTGTAACCGTCAGGGAGGGAGACAGACACAGAGAGACCCTGGAAATAGATGAGCTTGTGTCGGCTCACTGATCTGCCGACTCTACCTCCCTGGCTACTGGCAGAAGACGCCACCCAAAACACCCTGCTCTGTTGTATTATTTAGTCAAAAGCACTTTAGAGACATAAAATTCAATAAATGACAGTGGGTAGAGGAGCCCTCTGACCTTGCCACGCCTTAAAAGCAGGTAAGGTTTGCACCTGGGAGACGCCCTTCCTGGACCTGAGCCTTCTGACAGACAGGCCTTGCTGACCGTGAGCTGCTTCCCCCTCAGCCACCCGGCCCTGCCCAGCTGCTTTTTCTCAACGTGCCACTCGTCATCCAGGGTGATGTGTTTGGCTCTGCTTCTTTGTCTCCTTCCCTGGGGGGACCTTCAAGTCACATAAAACTTCTCCAAACGGTTTGCCTTCCCGTGACTCGCTCAGGTCAACTCTCCCCCTCCCATATCACACTGTCGTATTGAAAATATCGAAAATAATTCTAATAATTAAAATCATGCCACGTCAACAGCCCGCGAGCCTGAGCTGCAGTCACCTGGAAACCACACAGGACAAGACCATCAAACATTCCCGGACAATGGAGGCGTGGGAGAATGGTGTCCACTGGTACCTCCCTCTGGACAGGCGGCCTTGTCAATGAACCTCGATGCCTGACGAGGAACTTCTTCCCTGAGCAAGGTGACACTTGGAACTGGGCCTGTCCCTTGTGGGACGCTGAGAATCCTTTGAACTCCAACAGAAACAATTCTTTAACATTTCAACAAGATATTTTTGGGGTTTTTTTCCCCCTGTTTAATTGTGACTTAATGGTTCATGGACATTTACACATATGCACATGTGTTGTTTTTTCACTTCTAGCATTTCTGAAGCTAGTTGTTCTTCACAGATGGGTAGGTTGAGAACTAGGATGTTTGATTGGTATATTTCAGTCTTCTTTTTTATTCATTTTCTTTTATGGTCATTTTTAATTTTTAAAATTTTTACTTTATATATATTTTCCTCTCACTTGTCTGTTTCCCTTGGTTCTTTTCCTCTTCTAACAGCCAATCCATATTGTTCTCCCTTTCACTCTTCCTTTAATTTTTTTACTTCTATCATCTCTCTTCCTCCCTCATAATCAATCATAAACACATCTGTTCTCTCACCATTCAAAATTGTAAACCCTTTTGCAAACTTGCTATTTTTATCACAGGCAATATCTAATCACATCATTTCTGCTTATTGTGACAATTAATATTGTAGGCATCTTAGCAGGAACTATTTGATTTAGTGCTCTAATTGTTTTCAAGGGTTGTTGTTATGACTTGTCTCTGCCAAATCAGTGAGGTACTAGAAACCTTCAAGGACACTGTAAGTCTGCAGGGTAGAACCTACTGCCTCAGATCCACACTGTCACATGGGTAGACACACAAACAACATGAAAAAGCAAGGGAACAAATCTCCACAAACAAACCAAGATACTCCAATAACAGAATTCATCAATATCAGAGTGGAAGAAATGGCAGAGAAGGGGTTAGAATGTACATGGCTAACACTGGTCTGTGAGGTACAGGATGATGTAAGGAGTGTAATCAGGAAGAAAATAGAAGTGAAAGATCCCTTCAATAATAGAAATTCTGGGGAAAAAAAAGAAAAGGAAAAAAAACAGAAATTCTCAAAGGAATCAATAAACCAAGTTAACAATTCAAGTGAAAGCATCTCTAACAGACTAGATCACTTAGAAGACAGACAATAAAGACAAAATATATAACTTAAAAACAAAGTTGACCATTGAGAAAAGATGTTAGGAGACCATGAACAGAACTTCCAAGAAATATGGGATAACCTGAAAAGACCAAATTTAAGATCTTTTGGGATAGATGAAGGTGCAGAGATACAAACCAAACAATCTTTTCAATGAAAGAATATCAGAAAATTTCCCAAAATTAAAGAATGAAATGGGAAATCAAGAACAAAATGTTTACAGGACACCAAAAATACAAAATTATAACAGACCTACACCAAGGTGCATTATTATAAAAATGCCTTACAAAATAAGGATAGACTTTTACCACAGGAAAAATGAAAGGTCATAATTAAAGGAAAACCAATCTGGATCTCAGCTGATTTCTCAACCCAGACCCCCAATGCTAGGTGGTCTTGGAATAATATATACCAAGCTCTGAAAGAAAATGGATGCAGTCAAGAATACTATACACAGCAAAATTAAGCTTCAGAATTGATGATGAAATAGAAACCTTCCATGATAAGCAAATATTAAAAGAATTCACAACTAGAATGCTGGCACTGCAGAACATGCTAAATAAGATATTTCATGAAGAAGAAATGAAAAATAAAAGTGAAAACCAGCAAAGGGAGAAACTATACTAGAAGAACACTCAAACAAAGGAGAGACTAATTCAAAGTAAAAACCAAAATAAATCAAAATTACAGGGAACAAAAAGCATTTTTCTATAATAACATTAAATGTAAATGGCCTAAACTGATCAATCAAAAGACATAGGCTAGCAGATAGAATTAAAAAACAAGACCCAACAATACACAAGAAACTCACCTCACAGGCAAAGACATTCACAGACTGAAGATAAAAGGATGGTAAAAACATATCATTCATAAGGATCTTGTAAACAAGCAGGGGTGGTTTCTATCCTCATATCAGATAAAGTGGATGACAAACCAAAGAAAATCAGAAGGGTCAAAGAAGGACATTTTATATTACATAGGGAATAATACATCAACAAGACTAACAACCATAAATATTTATGCCCCAAACAATGAAACATCTACATACATCAAGAAGACCCTTCTCAATTTCAAGAATCAAATAGACCACAACACAATAGTACTGGGTGTCTTTAACACATCTCCCTCACCAGTGGATAGATCCTCCAAACAAAAACTCAAGAAACTATAGAAATAAAAAAATACAATTAATAATTAAGACTTAACAGGTATACATAGAATATTTCATCCATCAATGAATGAGTACACTTTCTCTACACAGCACATGATCCTTCTCTAAAATAGACCTTACCTTAGGTTACTCTTAGCAAACACACACAAAAAAAAAGAGAGAAAATACCTTGCATTCTATCAGATCATAAGGGAATGAAATTTGAAATCAATGATAATTTTTTTTTAAAAAAAAAAAAAGCTACCCTAACACCTGGAAACTAAATAATACATTAGTGAATGATTAGTTGATATCAGAAGAAATCATGATGAAATATAAAATTACTCAGAGACAAATGAGACTAGCAATATACATTAGT